ACTGACTTCCTGCCCCTGGGGCGGGGGGCTGGACTCGATCTTCCCTTCCAGCCCAAATGTCTATGAAATCTATGAAATAGCTGGCTACCAGAAGAGCTGCCTGAGGGTTCAGGGCCACCAAAGTGACTCCTATAATATTTCTTTCCTGCATCTATCACAGCAGATGTAGCCTATGAAAACTGGCTGTGAACAAGGCTTCCCAACAGCTCAATGATCCATAGCTCTTCAGCAACGGGTCCTGGAAGCTATAAGAAACCAGTTCACATAAGAACAACCTAACCTGTGGACAGAGACGGGTCTCCCACGCAGCGAGGCCCAACTCCGCGGGAGGGGAAAGGTAGCTTATTCCATCTAAGCACTCTCCTTTCCAGCAAGTTATGCGAGTGGCTCCAGCCTCAGTTGGTTTTTCATAACCATAATGAAAAACATAACTTCCACTTAGAAAAATAATGGCTATCGGCCCAAAATCAATCCTGAAGCTTGATTGTGATCTCAGTTGTGCAGGTTTTCAAACATCGGTTGCTTCTGATTTCGGTTCTAGCAACACTGGAGCAAGACCCTTCTGCAAGCAACGCCATCCTCTGCTTTTCTGTCCACTGTATCCTTTCACGGCCCTTAGGGAAGTGCCCAATACACCCTGAATGAAACTTAACTGTCTACAATTTCCTTTCTGGGCTCACAGGCAAGCAAGCTAGCGTTGAAGCTCCAACAGATCCAATACATTTACTCAAAAAGGGAGTTTAATAAAGGGCAGGAATGGGACATTTTGAAAAAACCATTCAGCTCAATGTGAGTGGCCGCACGATGGCAGCACAGAACAAGCAATGAAAAGAGGATGCTATATATGTAGCTGGGAAGTGATATTTCCACACCCCTATTACAATCAGTCCAGTAACCTGCCGTTCACATCTGAAGCTTCAGAAGAAAGTGGAAAGTAGCATCAGGTATCTCTTAAACGTCATAGAGGACAAAAGCTCCCCTTGGCAAAGTAATGAGCTAAACTCCTAAAGCATGAGATGCGATTACCTTATCTAATCTTATCTTAAAGGGGCACACATGCAGAGGTCCCATCTCCATTTCCATCCACTTCTTACTGAGGCAAACTCCCTCTGCTTCAAGGGAGAAAGCTGAACTTGAACATGCTAGTCCTGGCCATTAGCCCACTGCTAGGTAGGATGGTATTCTGCTATCTTGCCACTCATTTATCATCACCTGTAAGTTATAAAAATCTAAAGACAAAGGTTAAAAATAAGATGGAAAATGACTGATTCCCATGAGGCAGGGAAGAAAGAGTTGACACCTATTTATTCAGGAAAAATGCAAACAAGGATGAATGCTCTAGGCATTTCCTCGCTGGGAAGGGAAAGCTGATCTCAATCACCAGGGACCCCTGTCCTGATCTGGCTGTCAGATAATGCAACTACACCCCACATCAGGGGCGTTTCTTCTTTTAGCCAAACTTACCGTGGACCCTTAGGTTAGCTGAAGTCTTGTCATCCCTTGCATCACACACATAGGTTCCTTGGTCATCACATTCACACTTGTGAATAATGAGGCTTCTCTTAGTTCCTTGGGAAGTAATTCCCATTTTTTTACCTTGCCGCAACTCAGATCCATCCTAAAAGAAAAGGACCAATAGTGGGGCATCACTGCTTGTCCCTTACTTTGCGCATGCACTTATTTCTCATTGACTCCAGTGAGATTTCAGCACAGATATAAAGTAAAACACATGTATAAGTGCTGCACTGAACCGGGGTCAACCTGTGGCATGGGTGCCACAAGTAGCACGAGCAACCTCTGCGTGTGTGGCACGTGGACAATTGGGGAGGAGACAGGCAGCACAGCTGCAGAAAGGAGAGAAAGCAGAGCAGGAAATCAGGCAGGAAACATAAGGCAGGAAGCAGAAAGCAAGAGATCACAAGGAGCAGAGTACAGAACAGACACAGAGCAGCAGACTGGGAAGAGGAAGAGGAGCAGAGTGCCGCTTGGGGAGGGTACAGGGCTAACTTGTAGCATGCCTGCCAAAAAGGTTGGTGCTTACTGGACTAAAGTATGCATTTAAAATGCCTGGCTGCACTAGAAATGAAGGGTACTCATCCAAACACGTGCAATTCAGCCCTGTAACAGACCTGAGGCAGGGCACTTTTATCCCCATTTTACAAAGGGATCAACCGGGTTTAAAAGATACGCAACAAGCCCAAGGCCATACAAAAGACCATTGGCAGGGTGCAAATAAAACCCAAGAGTCCAAGATGCTCATCCTGAACTGTAACTACCTGTAACACTGCCTGAAAGCTAAAGGAGGCAGAAGAAACCTGGACTGATCTTCCTCAGCATTCCCCTTAAAAATGCAACATAAATCTACAAATCTGTCAACAGTCCAGAGAAGTTGACCATGTGCCCCCATAGAAACATCCTTAAAGATCTGGGAAGTAAAATGTTCCCAAAATACATCTGATGCACTGGGCAGGTAACGAGAGCTGAGGAGCTTTGGTTAATGGCAGAGAAAGGCCCACTTCCAGCTGCTTTTGAGTTCAGTCACTGTCTGCAGGGGGAAAGGGATCACATTCGGAAACAGGACGCAAGATCGTCTCGTCGGCAAGCTTTGTACCTTCAACCACTTGACGTCTGCATTAGACCTGGAGAGCTCACACTCAAACTTTGCCTCCTCCTTGGCAATGGCTTGCACGTCTGTCAGAGGCTGGATTATTTTCACAGGCAATTCTGCAAAGCAAAAGAAAATACAGTCAGAGGCAAGTGAGGCTTGAACGGGTTCTTTATTTTTTATTTAAGAAATCATTAAACTGTGTTGAGTGCACTTGCTGTTGGTTCACCGTCCTTTTTTAATTTATATAATATATATCATTGCTATGACTAATCGTTACTTGTTCAATGAAAATACCATCGCGTCTTGGACTTAGGCCCAAGGGATGATAAGCAAGTACGGTGGCTAAATAACTGTTCTCTGAGTCTAACCCATCTTAATGGCTATACATAAAGATGCAAAGGATCAAAAGTTCCCCTGAAACAATATTAGTACAAGTTACTCGTAACCACAGAAAAAAGGAGGGTTGTCAGGGGGGATCTTCTGGAGAGATTTAAATAAAGATCAGACCAATGAGGGAAAGATTTGCTCTTATTTTGTATACTGTACAGCACAAAACACCTTCTAGGTATTTATAATGGATAATGATGATATGTGGCAGGTGTGAAGGGGCAGTGATTCATCTCAGCTTTCTTATTTTCTTTTGCACCTCAACAGTAAATAAGGAGCATAAGTATAGAGTATAAATATAAATGCCAATTGGCAAGAACTGCAAAACAGAGTCGCAAAACTAACTGATGTTTCAGTTTGCTGACAGCTTATTAACAAAAAAAATGTTTAAGTTCATTTTGGATTGAGCCAAAGAAAGTTTTTCAAACTGTTAGGAGGAACGTAAAAAGTTTTTACAAAATAATCAGTTCAAACAAAAGATTTCATTTGAGTTGAACCAAATGAATTTGTTTTTAATTTTCAGCATTCTTTAAAATAAGCTTGGAGAAGATTTGAAACGGGAAGTCATTTTTTCCACTTTCCTCTTTGAAAATGTGCAAATATTTTAATTAAAAAAAAAAAAGAAAAATTCCCCTGAAAAAACAGTTTGACAATACTGACCAAAAAAAAAAAATAAAAAAAAAATCACCAAACATTTCAATCCCTGAAGCTGAACTCGTGCAAGGTAGGTGGGGGGGGGAATGCTTTGGCTGAAAAAATAAAAAAGCAGAATACTGATAGGTATGGCCCTGAAAACGTCAGCTACTAGTAATGAATCTCTCTCTTTCGCGCTCGCACACACACAAACACACACACACACACACATGCACAATCACTGGTAATGTATCTATGGCTCCAGTGCTTACTGAACTACAGATGCACAGGGCCAGGTAGAGCTCCAGACTGCAGAAGCAGGATACCTTTTATAGTGAGTCTCCCTGATGTATGGATGCCTTCTGCCTTGAAGGAGACAAGGCCTGCGTCTTCCAGCTTCAAGGAGGAGAGTTTCAAGAAATGCCTCTTCCCCTGGACCCTCACTTCAACGTTCGCCCCTGGTTTCAGCCTCATGCTGTCCTTCATCCAGGTTCCTTCCACGTCCTCGTGAGACAGCTCGACCTCAAAGGCGGCTGTTCCTTTTTCAGAGACTTCCACTGGCTTCAGGCCTTTCACCAGATTGATTTGCCTCACTGAAAAAATACAAACATGGAAGAGTTGGTTATGTTGCATTGAAAGGAAACACAATCCTCTGCTCATTCTGTGTAAATAGACCACATCAAACAAACAGTGTATTTTCCTACGTACAACACACACACTTCCCCTCCATCATTCAGCTGCTGGAAATTAGTGTGTGCATTATAATCAAGAAATATGGTGACAACAGGTAGGGGGCTCTTAAGGAAAGATCTCTTTTTCTTCATTCTTTCAAAAATAACACGTATATTTTATTCAGAGGCACGTGTCTATGATATGAGAAAATACAGTATTCTCTCTCTGGTCCTCGGTATAACAAAGTTATTGTTCATTAAGTATAGAAGCATGTCACCGAGGATCCAGTCCCTAGCCCTATTGAATATCATGATCATTGCTGTTGAGATCAGTGGGTTAATCCAACAGAATGGGTCCATTACTCGACAAGCTCAATATCATTCACATCATTCTTTCCAGAATTGAACTCGACCCCCATGAGCTTTGATGTAGCACTCGCATACAGGAACAGAGAAATTGCTGTTGTGGATTTGACTCGCCACTGAGATGACAGCCACTACCAAAGGAGTCGTATTCAAGTAGAGCAGGAAGGACCCTCGGGGCATCATTTCCTCCAACCCCTGACTGAAGGTAAACCTCTGTCCCTCTGCAAAGTCCCAATCCTCTTTCACAGGAGCTGGGTAGCTGCCTGGTGGGGTGGCAGGGCATGGAGTCTGCTCCCACCGGCCAGCGGTGGTCTGCACAATTGCTCCAAATGGATTTGGTGTCGCAGTCCCTCTGCTACCGGAAGAGGGCCAAGGGATCCTTACAGTGATGGATCCTGGGATGCAGACCACTGCTACCCCATGCCTCGATGAAGCAGGCATCTGTGCTGCACCGGGGACAGCGCCCAACCTAGAAGGTGTCCTGCATAGCTTTGAACCGGGGCATCCCTATGTGTTGGACAAGATGACTTCAGAGTCCCCTTACAGCCCTGTGATCCTGTGGCTCGAAATCCCACTCCTCCTCTGCCCCGCAGAACTATATTCATTCGACTGCCAGGACCTTGCCCAGGGACAGGAGGGCAGGGGCAGGACTTTTTCCCACAGGCATCTGATGAACGGATGATTTCCGGGGTTTGCTCTT